AAAAAAGTCTGTGTAATTGTATTCAACCCCCCCTTCTACAATTCCTTTCTGTTTATTGCCTTACCCTTCGGGACTAACATATTTCTATGTGTAGTTTACTTTTTATTGCTCGATTATTGACATATCCAGTCACGTATGAGTTTTAGAATAATAATAGACCTGAGATTCAGGGTGTCGGGAATTTGGTGGAAAACAATCAAATACTTCCTTATGGTGTAACATATAGTTCCATGAATTAAATCATGGATTGTTAATTAAACTGGTGTTTAAGTTCGGTATATACTAGATCACATTGACAATGTTGTAAAGCAGGGAATTCTGGTGTTGGTATGACTTCAAATTACTTAGTCATGTACGTGTCATGAAGTCGATTCTAATAGGTCATAAGTGAAATGGAATGCGACTTGGGAGGTTGTGAGGGCCAAAAAGTCACAAAGATGAAGGTCAACAAGTTCACAGGCGAATTATAAGTTACCTGTGATGTCGCCTAATGAGCACAACCTGGAAAAGCGGATTGTAGCTCGCATGAGATGTTGTGTACAACAGGTTGTGCAAGTTAGAGTCATGCAAGCTACTTGAACTGACATTCAGTGCATGCGAGTTTGTAAGCGACCATGAGCTTAAATAGGGAGGTTGTTGACAACTGATTATGCCCATATATAACGTTATATACACATCAATTTTTGTCAAATCTTACAAGGAGCCTAAAAGTTTGTTTCATCGATCGTAGTATTACATGATGACGACAATTTCTTCAAAGACCGTGGACCACAATCCAGGGGGCAAAAAGGTCATTGTCTATTTTTCCGTTAAATTTAAACGGAATCAAACGGAAATGACTAAATTGAGAAGTTAAAAATAAAAATGGGGCATATTATAAATTATTTAAAAATCAGGTGGCGGGTTTAATAAAAGAAAGCAATGGCAGATAAGTTAGGTCCGTAGACGCGTGTTTCGTGTGTTAGAGAGATGCAGAAACGAGAGCTAGGTAAACAAGGCGGAGGTTCGGGTGGCTCCGGCACTCCGGCGGCGAAGAGAGGCCGACCTTTTGGAAGCACTAATAGCAACTCAGCTGCAGCGTTGGCGTCCGACGCCGCAGCGCCATCTACACTCCTTGGCCCATCACTCCAAGTCCACTCCTCTTTCGCTGGTCAGTTCTTTTTCAAAACCTAATTATGTTATTTTTCATCAATCCTTTCCAAAACGTCAAAATTTTACTAACTTACCTTCGGTTCGTAATCTGTGGACATTTTCTAAATGTTCAATGCAATCATCAATTTTTTGAAGAAAAGATTAGTATTCCTAGCAACCTTGAAGCTGAGAAGTTGCAAATATATTGAAGTCAATCTTTACCATTCTTTTTGGAAAGAAAGGATCATCATCAGTACTTCTAATTATTGTTTGTTGAACAATTTTTAGTATACAGTCTCTTGATGCCGATATCCCGGTACTCTTAGAATTGAAATATTCAAATGACTAGGAACAGGCACCGACATGCGGGAATCCCTTTTACATCAGTCACATAATAGTCATATAGATATATTCAATAATAATATCATTTGGATATGGATGCAAATTCAGTATTACCAAACCAAATTAACCTAGTATTTTCCACACAGAGGTGGTCTCCCCAGGAGAGGGGGGGGGGTATGCCGACCTGACCTCTACTCCAAAGAGTAGAGTGAATGTTTTTGTGAAGACCCTTGTCTTTCGGAAGAGTGTATATGAGGAAAGAGTTTGACTTATGATTTTCAGAAAGGTTGTAATAAAGTTTGAAGAAAAATAAGGTAAAAGAAAAGTTCAAAAGAGAGGATCTTGAAAAGATAATAAGTGTAACATACAAACAGAAGTAGGTACAAAGAAATGGAACATAGTCAAGTTTTAAAAAAACCCAACCCCTAGTCCCTGGCTCAATGTAGGACCCTTGTAACCTATCTACAACTCTCTTCTTACCCTTTACCTCTTGAGCTCCTTCCCTCACATTTGTGCTTGCTACGGGTCCCCACCCCTAATCAATTACTCTATTCTTGCGTCTCCAAGAACTCTTATTTCGGAAATGTATTGCTCATCCCACATCCTCCTCGACCTAACTGTCCTCCTTGCCTGTAACAACCCGTCCCACATAGATAGAAAATTGGATTTGTAAGCTTCTTATATTCTCAAAGTTGTGGGCTACCAATAACTTCCCCATGGTTTTAAGTTGATTTCGAGGTTATTGGGCCAATCTGCTACTTTGGGCCATGGTGGGCTACAAATAGTATCATAGCCGATTCTTATACCATTGGGATAGTGGGGCAAACCTAATCGAGTGTGATGAGTCTCCAAGGGGGGATTTTTATAACATCTTAGGCAAATCCTCATCTCCAATTACAAGGAGGATTCTAGGAAGGCCTGACTAGGACATCAAGAATTAAGTGGGGGAGTTTGTAACAACCCGTCTCACATGGGTAGAAAATTGGAATTGTAAGCTTATAAGCTCAAAGTTGTGGGCTATTAATAACTTCCATTATGGTTCTAAATTAATCTTGAGGTTACTCAATCAGTCTACTGCTTTGGGCTGCCCTCGACCATCACACTTATACCCTCCTCATCGGAATTGACATCTGTCTCCTACGATCGTGTCCAAAAGACAACAATCTACTTTCTCACAATTTACCAGTAATAGGTGCAATTTCCAACTCGAACAAGAATACCTCATTCGGTATCTGTCCGACATGGTCTTACCATAAGTTCTCTACACATTCTCATTTCTGTCACTTTCCAACTTTCTCTCACGGTCTTCGTTGTCGCCCAACACTTCGAGTCGTATAACATTGCTGGTCTGGTAGCTATTCAGTATTGAACATGCTCATTGCATACACATAGTAGATAGGTGTATATGATCAGGTTACACCCATATTTATAATAAGATGAATTTGTTAATACTTCAAGGCATCACACGGGTGCCTTTGGCATCAGTGACTCACCATCACCCGGTTAACATGGCTTTGTATATGCAATATATATTGACTTCATTACAAGTCAAGAATGTTGGACAAGATCTTTCTTTGTTATGTGTTTCGAGATTCTAAACTTTCGTACTTTACATGTTAGGGGCCATATGTTATAACTGGGTTTCAAACAACCTGAGTTGAGGTAACCTATACGTGATTATTATTTGAATTACGTGACAACATGCATGATTACTTAATTAAAATGCATAAGTAGTATGCATATATGTGAAAAGATGTTGCTGTGCATACCTGAATTAGGTGCGTGCATATATGAAGTAAAGTATACGTGGATTATATTATTTAAAAATATGAAGATGTGATATCTTCATAATGAAGAAAGGTGGTATTTAACATATTAAACCCACCGCCTATGAATTTTATATTAATAAAAAGACTCCACCGTCTTTGTAAAAATATATAAGGAGAGGAAAGAGATAAGATCATATCTTATCATCTTGTTTTGAAAAAGAAAACCTTTTAGAGAGAAAAAGGTGTTGAAGGCGGTGAGAGTATTCTTGAAGAAACCTGTTGCTCAAAAGTGTTTGAAGAATTTGCTGTGTACTATAATCTGCAAAATCTGTGTGTGATAAGGTGAGTTTTTGATAACTAAAACCTTTATGTATATTGTTATACAAAACTGTTGGGTTTTGGATGATAGTTTTAAAGAAAAGATGGTGAAAATGTTTTAATAAATTGAAGGTAATATTGTTATAACTTGAGTATTGGAAACTGTTTTGGAAAAATAAAGAAGAGATTGCTTTTTTAAAACAATTTTGGGAGTAATATCCTGTTTTGAGGATTTAAAGAGAGTAGATTATTCGAGAAATCATTTACAGAACAGATTGTTCTTGAGGCTTAAAAGGTTTTGAACATAAACCTATTTTGAGACCATGATTGGTTAAAACTATGAACGAGGTTCACTCTGACAGAAAGGTCTACAGCCTGTCATTGGATGAAATAGTTCATAAGAATTTTCAGGGGAAATAAGGATGGTCGTTGTGTGTGATGAATATAGCTGTTGCTATTAAGGGGAATTGTGGATGAAATAAGGATGGTCGTTGTATGTACATGGTATAACTATTGCTATTATATCTTTTAAGATTATAACAGATTGGAGTTCTCTCTTCTTGGTGATTTGAGAATTTAGAGATGTTCTTACTAGAAATAATAGTATTGATGTTTTGGTTACGGGAAAAATATGACCTATGGTCATTGGTTTGGTTAAAAGTGTTTTCGATCAGAATGATCATTTTATGAGGAACCAGAGGAGCTCTGGTTGTTCCCCAATATGAGGTTCTGGATGATGGTTTGAAAAGTATACAAGTCTTTTACAAAGTTTTAGTTAAACTAGAGGCTCTATATTCATAAGGAAAGAGCTCTGTGTCAAATCTACGTTTTGAAGATATTTAAAGATTTTTTTTATACTTAGAATCTTTTATGAAAAACAAACCAGAGGGGCTCTGGTTGGCTTACACGTTGAACCAGAAGCTCTGGTTAGTACAACCAGAGGCTCTGGTCGAGGAACCAGAAGCTCTGGTAGAGAGACCAGAGGGGCTTTGGTCCTGGTTAGTTGAAATATTCTAAGTGTGCTCTTTAGAACCAGAGGCCCGATGGACTCAAAACAAAATATATTCTAAGTGTGTTCTTTGGAACCAGAGGCCCGATGGACTCAAACAGAATGTGGTTTTATCCTTCATTACATGAAATGGTTTAAATATTTTGGTGATCTTCACCCTGCATTACATAAAAGGGAACCACACTAGACATTCATGTCTAACCCCTATTTTGTGTTTTCAAAATATGTGTGCAGGTAATGGTAATAAGGGAAAGAGCTTTCTGTGAATTATTTTTTTATGTGCTTAGCTGTATGAAGATCTTAATTAGCCACGTTTTGAAGTATAGATGTCAATATACAATAACATGTACTTTTGGAATTTTTGAGCTGTGTATTTTGCATTGTAGACTCTTGTATTATGGACCTTTGTGGGCTTAACATGTATTCTATATATGAGATATGTGTTATACATGCAATGTGAGATTTGGGGTGTTACACCATAGTAGATTGAAGTTTTACTTGTTTGAAAACGATATTTTACACCACATCAAGAATTGAGAACAATGAAAGTTGCAATAAATTGGTAACATATTAGTTTGTATGGTTGGTCAATGCAATGCTGCTAGTTAAGTAGGTGTTCTTGGGGATTTGGGTATCCATATGGTAGTTTCTACTTTCTACTGTGTTTTTTGGTTTTGTTACGGTAGTTGCTATTCAACAAAATTGTTCCATTATAGCAGGTAGCTTGTATCGTGCTCATGGACTTGGGAATTAAAAGAATTTGATAAGATGGTCTGTAGTTTTGATTCCTTTAATCATTACTTAGGCCCATTTGCTAACATATACAGTGCCCCTTACTCCCTTGTGTGTGTGTATATATATATATGTTTTTGTAATAGCTTTGTTCTGTGATGAACCAAAACGTGCTTGGTATATCTGTTCCCTTTTCAAAAATGTAAATCGTTAAAACTGAAAGTATGTATGGCACTTCAATGTTGCTTCTTGTTTATTATTTCCTTCTTCGTTAGAAATCCACCACCAGAGATCTGTTATTTGTTTTCTTAAAAGATTTGAAAAATCAAACCATTTCTCTTCAAGATTTCATCTTCTACAATGGTCAACACTCTCATATTCTTAGTAATTTTTCCATCATTGCTGTGATCCTTCATAATATTCACTCATGCATATCTCACCATCCACCAGTACGGTTCTTGTTACAAATTACCATGTGCATCTCCACAACCATGTGGTCTGCATTGCCATTGGTAAGTTTTAAGCTCTCCATTGTGATGATTCTAGTCCAGTACCTACAATTTTGTGGTCTTTTGTCTAAGTCAGAGCTTTAATCGGTAAAGGCAACTTTGCTAGTTGCATTTAATCTGAAGTGAAAGTGGGAATTTTGAACACACGATATTAAAATATTAATGGCATGAACATGTAGCTTGTAGGTGGGGGGAAACTATAAGTGCAATATTGGAACTCATCACCAGATCTTCCCCAGAATTGTAGTTACTGAAAATCAAAGGGTGGAATTATACACAATAATTTCACTGGTAAGATTGTTTTTTATATCTGGCAAAGTAAACTCACACACACTTCTCACCTTTGGTGACTTGAACTCCTGACCTCAAGGAAGATGGGGTTAGGGGGTACCACTAGGCTCATGACCCTTTGGCTCCAATGTTCATTCATATCCCAAGAAGGTCTGCAGGGGTCGCAAATGGCAATGGGTGCTTCTGTGAAGGCAGTGGAGAGAGAAGTTAGGGTATAAGAGTTTCAACTTTGAATATGGTTGGATTCTTTCTATGAAAGATTGAAAGTGTGTTTTTGGGTCTAAAATTGATCTTCATTGGATTCAAAAAGTCACCCGTTCTTTCTTTCATCAACTCATATTGTAAACCATGATATTGTTAATCAACTTTACAAGTTTATAAATGAGTTCCATATTTCAAAGATGTAAACAATGGACAAAAGCGGTTTTTCATCAAGATGTATAATTTTGTGGGAAAGTAAAACAGAAAATAGAAATGAAAGTACTGTCAAATGCCACCTTAGGGGTCTCTCTTCTCTTACAGCTCCTTTTAATACAGAGTTGAATGATTTTTTAAAGATCTTGCTAAATCTGTTCTGGCCTTCAACACTTTCTTCCCTTTTTCTTATTTTTTTCCTCTGATGCAATTGTTTACAGTATTCTACATTATATATTTTCACCTTCCTTTCTGTTTGCTTCTCATCACTGTCATCTTTCACTTGAGCATGATATGGGCAAGGGTATATAGCATGCTTGGATGTGGAGACATTCAAGGATGGATGGGATTAAAAATGAGGATACTTAGAAGAATTTAGTAGCTCCAATTTATTGAAACTGATGTAATGTTGCAGATGGTATGGTCATCTCTGATGTGATCTTTAGATGCACCATCGACAAGGGATAGGAGGGTGTTAGAAGAGGTAGGGACATGCCAAGACCGACATAGGGGAAGCAGTCGAGAGCAAATCTGAAAGATCCAAAAAGTATAAGGAATTGGCTCTACATATGAGAGCTTGCAAGGATGCTGATTATGTTTTAAACTCTTGATTGTCTTGTCTCACCTTGCAATCCATCTGTTCTGGGATTTGTATATATCCTATTTAACTAGTTGGGGATAAAGGCTTGTTATTTTAATAGTTTTTTTATATTTTAGTGCATTTTACAATTTATTAATAACAAAACCAGTTCTTATCAATCTCAACACTGAAGAGTAGACCATTCAATGGTTAGAACTTAGAAGTCAAACTTGTACTACCCTTTTAGGACGGAGAGAGTACAATTGATACTGATGATGATGCCTCTTGTGTAGAACAAAACCCTGCAACATTCAGCGAATAAAGTAATAGTTATTTCTTATGTTATACAGAGAAGGATGAAAAACACAATTGGTTTTCTGTCATTTCGATCATGTTTACTAGCACACTTCACCGGTGTATATATTCAAATTGAAATTCTGCATGCATGGTACAGATTCAATTTGTCATTACATGTCCCAGTAAATTATTTCTGTGTTGAGATCTAACACCGGGAGGACATACCCAAAGTGCTTGTATAACAGACGTGGATCCAATCATGTACTTGATCCCATATATGTAGTTGCTGCATGGTTTGGTGCAGAACGATTAAGTGGTCAGAATGATTGAGAGGCTCTCATGATATAGTACAAAATGAAATATAATTGTTTGGTAATTGTTTACAATGAAATTAGGGCGCTTAATGGTTAAGGGAGGCCCATGATACAAAATCATTTAGAGGGTTTTAGAACCATTAAGATGCAGACATTTTTTTTGCCAAACAATATTCACCTCTTAAAGATTCAGAGGCTGCCTCTTAATGGAACTATTAAGAGGTAAACAAACAACCCCATTGGCTCCAGTAAGAGCCATGCTCTGTCTGGAGGAGAACTTTTAATTTTGGAAGAAATTGCTTATTGCATCTATAAACTGTTCTCTTTCACATTACTTGATTGAAATGTAAGCATGCAACGTCATGTAATCATTACTTCTCTAAAATTCATTATCCTCATGTTCAGATCAGAATAATAAAAGGATTGTTCTTGCTCTTCAAAGTGGATTGAAGAGTGAGCTGACATGGGCGCTAAATACCCTAACTTTGCTCTCATTTAAAGAGAAAGATGAAGTGCGCAAAGATGCAACCCCCTTGGCGAAAATACCTGGATTGCTTGATGCTCTTTTGCAAGTTGTATGTGATCACTCTTATATAAAATTTCAGTATTGTATCTTGTGTTTTAATCATCTTTATTTTTTAAAATTCTGTGAGAACTACTATTTTTCTTATTTTTTTTAATGTGCGATAAGGACAGATAGATGACTGGCGTGATATTGCACTCCCAAAAGAGCTCATAAAAAATCCACGAACACGGTCACTAGGTGCTAATTCCATTGTTACTGGTTTTGGAAACGAGTACAAAGCATTAGGCTCAAATGATGTGCCCCATCCAAAGTAAGTTCCATGTGACCGTCATTGCTTTCTCAAGGTTTCCCCATTCTTGATGTAGAAGGTTTCATACATAACCATCGATTTTGCTATTTTTATGGCAGCATAGGATCTGCTTCTGTTTCAGAGGCATCTGTGCAGAAAAAGGCAACTAAATCTCAGCCTTCGGAATGGTGGCTTGCTGAGGATGGTCTGTTTAATCTGGATGATGAAGGGCGGGCAGAAAAGCAGCAGTGTGCTGTTGCTGCATCAAATATTCTCCGCAATTTCTCCTTTATGCCAGAAAATGAAGTCATTATGGGCCAGCATCGCCATTGCTTGGAAACAATCTTCCAGTGCATGGAGGACCATGTTACAGGTGAGATGATAAAAGGCTGAATATTTCTTATCAAATATGAAGATGCAAATAGAAAATAACATTTTTTTCTACTAAATACTAATAATCTTTATTACCATGCCTTGTAATTACTCAGACTGATATAACCTCCATCCCTCCAGAAATAAGTCTGTAAATCGTGCAACTAAAGAATTGACTGGAAAATGGTTATACCCCATACTAAGTGGTTGATCAAATAAGTTGGTGGCTAGTTAGGTTGGTTAGGAAGTACAGGGAATAAGTGGCTAGGGAGGGCATTTTGGTCAAAAGACTTTGCTTGTTAGTGAGAGAGTCGGGACTGTTAAATACAACAGAAAGGGACTGTTGGATTCTGTTTTGAGTGAAACCAAATTGGGCGGGAGCCTGGGAGAGACTCCAGTCTCTCGAAGTTGCAAACCCAGTTGAGAGTGAATTCCAATGTTAGTCCAGTCCAATGACCATCCTGCATAAGAATCAAAAGCATAAATGTATTCATCTAAGCAAAGCTAGAATAGCACACACTTTCGGTAGTCTAATAGAATAGAAATGGATCTATACACATCTAATTAAATTAAATTGACCTAAAAGGAATTGAAATGGTATTAATCAACGCAATGAAGATTAATGACCCCAAATAAAGTAATTTGCGCGATTAGGAAAACCAAGTAAATCCACTACACCTTCCTTTGGCGTGAGGGCAAGCTGCAACTTGTTTTTTACCCACCGATGGTGATCAACCATAGTGAATAAACAAAGGAATACGAATTCTTGTTGAAAGAAACAATACAGGACATTCAGGCTATAGCCCATCCATCACCCAAGTTAACTTAAACAACACATCATATTTTATTTGAAAGTAACTTAATCTATTAATGACAGTGAAAATAACAGAAAATGAATTGTTCATGATAAGAAAACAACCTGAAGATGAAACCAAAAAAAAGGAGAGTGTTCTTCAGCTGTTGACTTTGTAGAAACTAAGGGAAAGACTCCTCTTTCAGCAGGGGTTGCTCTTGATCTTATACGCTTTGGGACTTGGTCTATTCTTTCCACTAACTCTGGTCTCCTTAGTTGTCTAGTAGTGGGGACTGACCTGCACTGCTACCTTGCTTTTGTTCCTACTTCAACTCCATGCCTTATCCCTTGGCTACAGAAGATGCGCATTCCTCCTGATTCTTGTAATATGTCTTCCCATGCTACATTGCGTCCATCTCCTAAATTGCTTTTGAAAAAATCATCAAGTACAAACCAAAATATCTACACCCTACCACCTAAAGTCCACCCATCATCAACTCAGAAATAAGACGAGTAAAAAGATTCAAATAAGAGACAGACTTAGACAAGAACATCACAACATCTATCTATTAAGAACCTGCGGCTATAGCATATAATTCCTGTTCTGAAGTTATCAGTTATACACTTTTAGGCATCCTAAAAGTGTTCCAAGATGTGCTATCTTTTGTATGCCTTTCAAGGATACATGAGGGTTTGTAGCTTATTTTTATGCTGCTTGTATATGTTTTTATTACACATCAGATATATAGTGGATATTGCATTTACTTTCAAAGAAATCTTGTGTCCTGGAAGCATACTTGTTTCTCTTTCTGTTACAGTCCATGTATTGGACCATGTTGTATATGACATACAAGTCGACTTTAGGGAGTTGGGCGACTCTTCTTGTGGTTTAGTGGAGATTCATTGTGATAATGAGAATATTCTGCACATTGACGTGAGAGGATGTTTGCTGTGTTACTCAACAGGAAATGGAAAAAAATTACATGCCGAATCCCAGCAATTTGAATAGCTGGTGTACTCTCATGGCTCACGCCAAAATCGATTACAAAACAAGATACCCACCTTTTATCTCTCTACTCCCTTCCATAGTGTTTTTGCTAACCGATCACTAACAATACCCACCCAGGAATCCCTCTTTTGCTCTTATTTATACCTCATTTATTTAGTAATACTCCCTTTTACATATGTAAACCTCACAGGTTGATCATATATCTCCACTAATCCTTTAATTAGCAATGCCAAACCTATCAAGGTAGGTTGCTACTTCGTTTACAAACAGCTGGGTGGTACTTGTTGTGAGCCTCCTACTGTTCGTGAGATGCTGGGCATGTTTGATATTTATGCACCAACTGGAGGAGTGGGACATGTGGATCTTTCTTTAATTTTAATTATTTTTTGTCCGTTTGGTGAATTTATGTACGTATTATGCTTTCATAATAATAAAAGTGTTCCTTTTTATGGCCTTCACAGAAAACTCATTGAATGATAGAGTTGTTAATTAGAAGAACTCGATTAGCAACTCTCAATGGCTTAGCACTTGATGATTTTGACATGAAAGGTCTCATCATTTATGTTGTCTAGTAGATCTTCTTAGTCTCATCTCTAGTAAGCGGTTTGCATCTGCAGCTGGTTAGCACAATACTCTGGTTGTCAATTCGTTTACTTAGTTTATGATTAGATTTTTCTTGCAGTCTGGACTCATAATAAATTCTTGCATTCCTGTAATTCAATTGGCCAGAAGATTTCGTTTGTTCTTCTGGCTAATAAAGTAATAATGCATCAGGGGGGGGGCATGTCTGATGCTAATCGTTCTTCGTTGTTGACAGAGGATGAGGAACTCGTAACAAATTGCCTCGAGACAATTGTGAATTTGGCTCCATTGCTTGACCTTCGAATCTTTAGCTCATCAAAACCATCCTACATCAAAATAACGTAAGAATCCATATATTCTTTTTGCTATTTGGGTTTTAAATATCCTACAATAAACACATGCATCATGTTTACGAATTTTTGTTGTTTTTGGAAAAAAGAGAGAAACGAGCTGTTCAAGCCATCATGGGAATATTGGGATCTGCTGTGAAAGTTTGGCATTGTGCAGCTGCGGAGTTGCTTGGGCGTTTGATAATAAACCCCGAGAATGAACCTTTTCTTCTTCCTTCTGCTCCACAGGTTTGTGGTTGCTTAAAATTTTTGTAATCTTTTATGCTCGGTTTAGTACCTTCCGTCTAAAAACAGTTCTGATGGGGTTTGCAGATCTACAAGCGGTTGGTAGATCTTTTGAGCTTGCCAGCTGTGGATGCACAAGCTGCTGCAGTGGGGGCACTTTATAACCTTGCGGAAGTCAACATGGACTGTCGATTGAAGCTTGCCAGTGAACGATGGTGAGATGTTCCTTTAACTTAATTTGAGTTTAACAGAAATCAGCTGTTCCATTTTAAGAAAAATATTCAACAATACTAGGATAGGGAAATGCAGAATCTGATATCATAATACTCCCTCTGTCCCACAATAAATATCCATGATGAAAAAGACAGTTTTAAAAATGTGTAGTTATTACACTTCCAATCAACTAAATGACAAATTTACCCTTAATAATAGAGGGAGTAATGAATATCTCAATCTCATAATTAACGGTAGAATTGGAAAGTAGGCACTTACTTTTGAAAGTTGGACTATTATTTTGGAAAATCTAAAATAGAAATGTGGACACTTATAGAACGGTGGGAATATGAGAAAGGCACTAAATACAGGCCAGTGGACCTACAATATTAGTACCCGCTCTATAATTGGAGTGGTTAATAATGCATGCAAGTATGATGTTGTTGAGCTATGTGGCTCTTCTTTGTGGATCATTATTATCAGTAGCACTTCTAGTCATTACATCTAGAAATATTTTTTAAACTTGAATGGCTGAACTTCATTTTAAGCCAAGCGTTCCACATCTACTGCAAGCTACTATTACCTTACAAAAGAATTTGCAACGTTCTGTCATTTTTGACTTGCAAGATTCATGATTTGTTAACACGGGTGTCCTAGCAATTCCAACACTGATTTCTGTTCACTTTGTTATGAAGCAAACATTGTTCATTTTTCAAGAAAACAACGCATACTACTCCCCTGTCCCAAAATAAGTGTCGACATTTCTATTTTAGCTTGTTCAGAAGTAAACATCTATTTTCCAATTCTACCCTTAGTTATGAGATAATTCATTACTCCCTCTATTATCAATGGTAAAATTGTCATTTAGTTAGTAATTACACATTTCTAAAACTATGTTCCTTGTTCATCGTGAGCATTTATTTTGGACGTAGGGAGTACTAAACAAGATTCGGTTAGTAGTCCAGGTGTATGTTGGATGCCCACAAAACACAGTTTGCATGACCACCTACAACATTTTGTTGAGGATTGTTGATAGTTAAAGAAAACTCAACCAAAAAACGAACCAAATCGTTATTGGGTTTATTTCTACAGTTGGTAAAAACTCACCACAAGCTTTTATCTAAAATGCTTAGGGCGGTTGATCGGTTGCTGAAAGTGATCAAGGCACCACATCCAGTACCAGAAGTGTGTAGAAAAGCAGCAATGATACTAGAAAGCCTAGTCTCAGAGCCGCAAAACCGACCTCTGCTCCTGGCGTATGAGAACGCATTTGCAGAGATCCTATTCTCAGATGGAAAATATTCGGATACATTCGCTCGGATATTATTCGAATTAACATCAAAGCCCAACAGCAAAGTGGCAACTGCTCGCGGTATATGGGGCATGTAACACCTTGATTTCGGTTGCCAAAAAATTAGGTACATTTCTAACACCTGTGGTCTGTAGTTTTAGATTTGAACATGAATTTAACGCCCTATTTTTTCTTCTTCTTGTAGTGGTGGGAAAGATATGAGTAAATGTTGTGAATCTCTTCTAAAGGTATTTAAAACTTTTAAGTACTAGTAATGCTTTTTTTAGAGCTAACAAATCTAGAAAGGTACAACTTTTATTGCGTAAGATACAAGTCGATATTAGTTTTGTTGTGTCATGTGTGTACCGTCGGTCATGTTAGAAAAGGGTATTCGCTATCCTCTGGATCACTAGCGCCCCCACTGCACTGGTCCCGTGATTATCATGGGAAGAAGGGTGGTGTTTGTGCTCAAACCCTGTACCTCTGGATTACACCCACACCACTACTGTTAAGATAGATTAACAAGGGATTTACGTTTAGTTTGTTGTTCAACTCTTGAAAAGCATCCATAGAAAGAAAAGAGTAAATAATACGTCATTGTCGACCTTGCCCTTAGGACACTGCAATTTATCTCTTGATGGTCGGGGACGTTTTTTATATATTATTATATAAGTGCTCATAAATCGAAGTAATTTTTTTTATTTACCTGGATATCCAACCCGCTATGCGAACCGACTAATCCCAAGGCGACTACCTGCTTTGCAGATAGCCTGGATTCATCGTATTTGAACCTCCATGACCACAAGGGGATTTTTATTCCTCCTTGGATGCGAAGTCAAAAGATGGATTTATAAATATGAGTGGTGTTTAACTACAAAAAACAACAGGAGATGGTCAAAAATGGTCATGGGCCGGGCCGGACTGGGCTGGGCTGATCCTAGATTTGTCTTGGTCGTCACCGTCACCTAAAATCTTACGACTAATCTTGAAGTCTTTTAAAATTAAAAAAAAATCTTTTTCACAAAGATGTTATACATTTTCTATGATTACGATTTTTGAAATTATATTGAAATTTACGTTTACATCTAAATGGATAAAACCTTGATTTTTTTGAAGAACTTTAATAGAAGACTCGATCCATCTACTTACGGATCACGGCATTTCATTCAGAGTATAGAAAACAGTTAATAGATGTCGAGATCCGAAGCGAACAATCAGTCGAATGAGCAAAGCTTAGAGTTTGTGACTCTTTATATTAGTCAAGCGCAATCGCTTATACAACTTATCTTTTCCTGGGCCCCTGAAATGGGACAAGGGAGACAATGACTTTTTTTTATTAATCTGGATATCCAACCCGCTATGCGAGTCGACTTTTTTTTTTAATAGTTAGACTTGACTTTGCGTACACCTTGTTGTCATAGGCTAGTACGGTGCTCTGTGTGGTTATATTCATACATGTTCCTATTCACTAGTCATTTCGGACCTGACCTAGGATTTTTGCATCTTTAAGGTGGATCAAAAGCTTGCAAATTTCCCGATGTTTTGAGCCGAATTCCACTTTTTCAATGGATTTTTTAAGGTTTTTTTGCTTGATATCGAGGTTTTTTAGTTGATTTCGAGTATTTTTTGGTTGATATCCCTTGAATTTTTCTAATATCCTGAAGCATCCTTCAAAGTTTAGCGTATGCACTTTTCATACTAAAAAAATTTCTAATTGCAAAAATTAATTGAGCAGCTGCACGAGACTCTGCTGGGGCCTTTATACTTCAGCCCCTGCATGTACCACTTGTGGTCATTATAGCAGTTCATTCTGATCCCAAAAAATGTCAGTAAGAACCTGCTATGCAGCTACAGATAGATCTTGCGAATACGAGGAGATTTGAAAAAATATATTGTATCACATTGGGACATAATGATCGGGTACAAACTACTACAAACTACTCTAACATCCATTCGTTTTACTTTTTCTGATAATCACTTCACTACTAAACTTTTTTAAGGTATAAAGTAAATAATAGAATAATTCTTCTGAAATAAATAACATTATTATCATGATAGAAGAAAATTAACTAAATGATCGAAAGTACAAGTGAACTAAGCATAACGTACAACGAAAATGAATCGAAAATATAAGTGAACTAAGCATAATGTACAATGAAAATGATTACCCTATTTCGTAAAATACAAAGTGAAAGACAAGTGATTAAATGTATGAATTAAGACATCAGTTTTTTGTTTAATTATATATATATATATATATATATATATATTTGTTTTGTTCTTGGTAAAAGATAATATCACGCATTCCTGATCTAAAATAATTGACCTGACCCCCATAAACGTGTTACAGTTTTCAACAAAATTTTGCTGAAACATTTAAAATCCATCTTTTACAAGGAAATCAAAGTGTAGAAAAACATTTGGATAGGCTATTAAACAATCATACAACAACAACAAAACAAACACTTATAACTTAAAAATCATCATTATGTTACAACACCAACAATTACATGCAAAACTTACTTTACAATTACTTTACTTTAAAACTCAATGATATTACTTGAAAATAATCACTAACATTAAAATTTAAATTATAAAAACATAAAATTGTATCCATAATATTAAAATTATTCGAACTTTTTGATTACAAAAAAAGTTAAACCGTATATTGATATATGTGTATTTAGATCTTCGATATTCATCTTCAGCTAATTGGGTTTTGAAATACCCTGATCTTATTTTTTTTTTGCTTGAACGAGGTTTGGATTCATCTTTAATCTCCATTTTCTAATCATTCGATTTCAACCAAGTTGTTTCCCAAACGAGTCTTTGTGTTAGATTCTCCACTTGCCATCGTCGTAGTCCTTCACACACACACGCACACACACATATCCCTATCGATTGTTGCAAAAGACATGACCTTTAGTTGTTTAAAATCCCGTCATACAATATCAAAAATCAACATGCATGCGTTTTTTTCAAACTTGGACATACGTGAGAGTATGCCTTTAAAAATGTTGAAGGCATAATTCAGAAAGTGACGCACTGATAGCCATTGTCTCTATATCAGTCGACACACTATCTTTTATTAATACTGAAAAAATATTTCGTCACTGGTTTACCTGAAAAACATTAGTGTAACTGATCTTCGATAATCTTTAACTCAAAGCCCGAAAAATTTGCTGATATTTAGGACACTTGATGTAGTCGATACCTGTTTCAAATCATTATTCTAAACTTTATTTTATTCCCAAAAAACATATAGAGAAATCAAGATACAATAGGTTTATCTGTTATCTAAATTAACGAGGTGAGTATAAGATGTAAATTCAAAACCATCCGAAAATATAAACCTAAACCTACACGTACGGTAAAACCCCTTGTCGTTTTTATCCATAATAAGTCTCGACATGATCTCACTTTTTGAACTGTTTAAGCCATTTACCTTTTTAGTAAAAAACAAGATCAATTGGAAAAATATGATCAACACATAAATAATTAATGATCTAAGAAACAGCTTTTTAACAGCCATAACGTATTTATTACATAATAAAAGATCAAAGGTTTTTTTTTCTTTCGAGTTGTGTTATTTTAAAGAAACTTCCTTATTTCAATTAATAGAATCATACAACGAGCATCTTCCCAACCATAAACCCTATTTATTGCATTCCAAGTATTTGTTATTAATAGAGTTCGGCCAATTGAGACCAAGTTAGGTTTGTATTTTAATCTGAGAAATAAAAGAAAAGACAAATTTTAACAGAAAAATAGATAATTTTTATTCTCTACGTATGACTTAAAAAAATGAATTGCACAAAAATATACGGTGAGTTAGGAGGAAAACCAGGTTGAAAACAACATATCACCCATTAATACGTCTTCTAAACGTCTTATGACTCCAAGAAGGTATTTAAGTTGCGGAAAACCACAATCAAGTCGAGAAAAGGAAAACGTAAACATATGAAAGTATGAGATAAGCTTAAGAATAAACAACCTTCACGTAAAAGGGCATACCTATTAAGAGGGGATCGCTCTCTTGTGCACCTACTTACTCGATTATTGTAAGAGAAAAAAAATGGGCGTCTGAAAGATGCACCCGCTTGATTTTGAGGGGTGCCCTTAAATACTTTGAAAAAATTAGACGTGTGTGAGATGGTTGGATCAACACTTTACATGCAAGAAGTCATAGTTCAAAATTATCGTTTACAAGACAAAATATATCCATTTTAAAGATCAAAATCGATTTCATGTGAAACGATACATATTTTATTCCCTAAATCGACATGATTGACTCTTCTCTGGTCAAATCGTGTCGACTTCATCCTGAGGTCAAATCACGATTTTGCAGGCACACCTTAAAAGTGTACCAACTCAAAGAAATTCCTGAGTCCGCCACTAATTATGTAGATACATGTGTATGTGTGTGTCTATATACACACATATATATAGGTGGAGATTCAAATGAGAACACCTTCATTTTACGAAAACTTGATAATACTCTTATCACATGTGATAATACACGTGAGAGGGTCCGATGGTGTGCAAACGAAGTGTTTAGTGACCTAGGTCGTGCCAAAGGTTGTATGCTTTCTCTGATTTAGTGTCGCATATGATATATTATAGTATCACATAAAAAACATTCTTATCACATGTGATAATACATGTGAGGGACCTAGTGGTGTACGAGCGACTTAACTCACAACGTAGGTCACATCAAAGGTCATCCGCTTCCTGATTTAGTGTAACATATGTATCATATGTGATGAAATATAGTAACACATGTGATTGACGATATCAAAAGGATGTTCTCATGTTCTCATAAAATGAAGTGTTTACATTCGAACCCTTCTCTATATGTGTGTGTGTGTGTGTGTGTGTGTGTGCGTATGTGTGCATATAACATAGCGTTGGTTACTTAATTTTCAAATAATAAGAGTTATGATAAAAATATTTCTAAATCGTTGGATGAGTTGAATTTTAATCTAATGATCCTTTCACATGAAACGTTTGTATCATGAGTTTGTCATACGGTTTGACTTACTTGTAGTTGAATGATCGTTAATTTGATAAAAAGGGTAACACATTAATGGGGTTGATGTGATGAAAGTTCTTTTTTGTCTTTTATGTGCAATGAGATAACAATGTGAATAACAAGTCGTGTAAACATTATTTGGTAGTTAGACTTGGTAGTCGTGATATTAATTCCATGTACGTTATGATATTTATAGGATAGACGGTGAACATTTAAGAGGCTCTGTGTCAAATATGTCCTTGTAATCTTTTAGATATTATTTGCCAGATACAAAAAATAAGTAGTTAAAAGTTTAGAATGGTTTGATTCAAAATTTATAG